TTGTTGTTGTTTATAGGCCTGTCACAGTAACAAGTTTTACTGGGCAATTAATTATCCCAGAAATTATTGCGATAAACAATAAAATTGTTTGAAATTCGACTAATTAGTAATTATTGTCAAATTTATGAAGAAATGTTGGTTAATTTGTGTATAGTAACTTTTTTGACCACTGGATTGCAGAATAAGACTGTTTGAACCAAAGGATGGATACTGAGGGAGCGAGCAGCGTGTCTCTTTAAGAAAAATGGGAGGGAGGCCCTTTAACGTGACATGGGCTGTCTCCCCTTCCTTTTTTTCCGGGTCTCAAAATGGCGAAAGCTTGGTGTGGTTTGAACTCTTCAGCATAGTGTCACACAAAGCTTTTAATAAAAAATCAATAAACAAGTTCTCCGCTTCTTTTTGCAGAGAAAAACAACTTTTTAGACGAAGGCACGGGTTTCAACCGTGAATTGTGGAGCTTTGACAAGACAGAGTTTTTTTTTCCCAAGGTCAGCCTGTTAGCTTAGCTCGTAGCTTAGCTATTTTTAACGATCCAAAAACGCGATTTTGGATTTTTAAAACAGATTTTAAAGAGAAAAGAGAAAGGGAGGGGTCAGTGAAGAGCACCGGATTGAGCCTCCCAGTGTCCAGTAGAAGAGACACGAAGAAACGATAAATCCGATAGATGAAAATGAGGTTGATAATTTTTATTTATCGTGCGATTAATTGATTTATTGTTTATCGCGACAGGCCTTATTGTTTAATCCCACAACCAGCTGGTCACATAGACCATGTCATCACATTACTGAGCTGCAAAGCCAGCTAACCTTTTCATGCGTCAATCATTTTGGCTCTGTTACTACCTCACTTTACGACACTAAGACGGGTTGGCTTCGACTCCCTCATCGACTCAGCCTACTCAGAAATGACAGAGGCTAGAAGGCATCTTATGTTCCAGGTTGGGGTGTTTTGTGAAAGAGCCTTCTGTCGGCCATTTATTTAAATCAGAGTTACCTTAATGCTAAGTTTTTTTAGGTGACTTGTCGACTTTGAAACTGAGAAAATTCAGTTTGAAACTCTCAATAATTGTGGATTGGAGAGAAAAAGAGTAGATCAAACTTTGAGGTGGAGGTGAAAGAAATCTGACGGTACCGTTTCCTGAAGACTGAGAAGGGAGATGCCAAGTCAGGTGAGTCTGTGACAAAGGCCGTTTCATTCTTCTTGTGAACCCAGTATCTGAGCTCATCCCGTCTCCCATAATAAGCATCACCATACACCTCTGTTGTTGACCATGTGAGCCGGATTAGGATAAATCTACTTCAGCATAGAAAAACATGCTAACAGCGGTTTCTGTTTTCTTATTTCTTGTTCATTCAACCTTTATTTATACAGGATGGTCCCACTGAGCCTCGGGGACTCATTTACAAGAGAGACCTGAAGGTGTGAGGCTGTAGTTAACATCCATGAAGTGTGTTGCTGTTGAGGTTCTCCCAAAGTCTGTCACGTACAAATGGATCCACCAGAATTTTAAAAACTCTTCATCTTCTCTTCATTTTCGCACCAAAACCTCGATTTGCATGATTGGAAAAAAAAAAAGAAAATGCAGCCGAAAAATGTTTTGCAAAATCCTATTTCAAGTTTAAAATTGTCTAAAAATATACAGGAAGTAAGTTTCCCACGATAAATCTCGCTGTTCCCCACATCTGCATTCTGAGCCGGTGCCTTCGTTTTTAAAGAAGGTTGTTGTTTTTTGTAAAAGATTGTCTGAAGCTTTGGTCTACTTCCTGCATCAGACTGAGTCATGACGTTTCTGCCCTGTGATTAGAAAACCAGACGTGCCTCTGAGGTTGTCGGGTCGTCACACAGGACGCAGTGTGTCTGTATTTAACTGACGCAGCTGTCGCTGCTAATCAGACGCTGATTAGATGGAGACGTTTCTGTTAGCACAGAACGTATTAGTTAATTTTCCAGTCTTATTTCTTCAGGGGATCAATAACATCATCTCAGTGTTTGTGACAGGAGGCTGTTAGGACGAAGTATAGCGTGAGTGCAGGACTGGATAAACTGCAGTGTGGTTGATGTTAACGGCAGCTTTATGGAAGAAATGGATTTTAGTGTCCTCTATTTACAGCTACGTACAGTATATCTGTCTTCAGTTGGTTAAAGAATACACTTCTACTAAATGTTTATTACATTCATTGGTTTCAAATCTATATTATGATGCTATAAAAAGTAGAGCCCAGACCGATATTGAAATTTTGGCTACTGATGTTGTGAGAGGGAATTTCAATGTCGATAACTTGACTTTTGTCTAAGTAAACAGCTGCTTTCACTTTTGTTTTAACACTTGACGTCTTGAAACAGTTTCTAACGTAAGTTCACGTTTTCCATCCTCCACTATTCACCATAAAGTTATCAAGTGTGTTACAAGGATATAAATTAAATAAAGAAACGTCCTTCCTGTTCATTGTTTAAACAGTCACGTCTGGTCAAGGTCTAATTGGTACCGACCGCAGCAGAGTTTGTTTTTCTTTGCAGAGAAGTAAAGATTTCATACAAACGACGCATTTCATTCGAGATGGATGTGTTATTGATCCCAGGGGGAAATCTGAGGCTTCCAGCAGCATGTTCTAATTATACAGGTCGGACGACAAAGCCCTATTTGCATGGAATTAGTTTTACCTAGGGACCACATGCTATTTGTAATAATTACGGAGATTGTCTGTGTTGTTAATCCCGTGCGAATCGGCCATGTCAGTAATTTGTAAAGTGAAAATTCCCCCGCACATTACCTACTATATTTTGCTGAACTCTGAGGTCCTGTGATAATACTAATCCAATGCAAATAGATATCTCTGTGATTTGGACAGAAATGTGCGGGATCCGTTACGTAATTAGTGCCTACCGAACTGAACTGAGCCAACGCCCTGCCCCCATCAACAATTGCCAGCACTGACGTAGCGCTAAGCTAGCGGCGCACAATACAGACACTAGCTAAAATGCTCGAGGTTACGCTCTGAATCCCTCACTCTGAGCTGTCCGCCGCTTTTATCTTTCATTTGCCATGCTGACTTTGCATAAAGTCTTAAAAAAGCTGCAAGTAGGAAGAAAGTCTCACAACTTTCTGTAAAATAGATTTTGATTGTGTTGCTTGTTATTGTCTTTCACCGAGGGAGTTTTTCCTTTCCACTGTCGCCTTCATGCTTGCTCAAGATGAGAGTTCTGTGATGGAGTTAAACTCAAAGCTGCTCCTCAGATAAATTATGTTCAATTATTATTTTGTATATGAATGTTTCTGTTCAGTGCCCTGAGATGACTTCTGTTGTGACTTGGTGCTTTATAAATAAACTGAATTTAAGTGTTTTCTATCTAAACAAGTCATTTCTGCACTTTATTATTTAAAAAAATGTTTTTTGCTTTACTTTTGTAATTTAGTTTATATTCCGAAACTGTAAGTTGAGGCACCGAAAGCAACTTCAGGAGGTTCTTTGTGTTGCAGTAAAAGTAATTTACAATTTGTTATTTAACAACAAGTCCATGCTCAATAATCCAGGATTACAATCCAGCATTTTTCAGTCAGGTCATCTGGACAGTTTCTTTTTTTTTTGTGCTGAAACGTTTCGCCTTCGATCCAGAAGGCTTCATCAGTCAAGAAAACACACAACAAAACTGATTCTTCCTCCAACAGCTTACTCCAAAGTGGAACAAACCAGTTCTGCTTGTGATAAGATGGTCTCTTTGGTACGCCCCCTCCTCCATTGCCGGACCGAAGGCGAAACGTTTCAGCACCAAAAAAAAAAAGCGAAACTGTCCAGATGACCTGACTGAAAAATGTTGGATTTGTTCTTTATTATCTATTTTTTAAAGTTTAGCATTTTGGTGATAACTTTTAAATCAAATCCCTGAGAAAAGCTAAAAAAAAACAACACAAACTGAAATATGTTAAAAAAAAAATTAATAAATTAGATGTTAGTTACAAAATTAAATCATACATTTTAAAACAGCTGAAGCAAAAAATAAAAAAAAAATAGACCCATTTATTTATATTTACACCAGCCTTGGTATGTTTATCCCTGAAGGTGAAAGGTCAAGTACAGTTAGATCCTTAAATACTGTTTCTTTTTAGATTTTATATTTTTGGGTGTAACTGGGACCTGAGCACATAATTTTGTTCCACCTCATGTGATAAAATGACAATAAACTTGAACTTGAACTCAATCATGGTCATGGCCCAGTTCTGTCTGTTAGTAAAATATCTCATGAACCGACAGATTTTAATTGAACTAACATTTTAGTTTATTTCAAGATGGCTGCCACAGCTGGACCCTACACAAACACGTCTACAGTCACTTTTAGGTTCTGAGCTCAAGTTTAGCGTGGTGGTAGCTGAGAGTCATCCCCCACAGTATCTGAGCTCCAACAGATCACACAGCTGGAATACTTTGTGTCCTGATGTTTGCTCCTTTAATCAGATGAACATTTACAGATTTAATGACAAACGGCTCCAAAATCACAGTGAAATCTAAAAATGCTTTTAACTTGAACTTTAGTTTGAACTTGATGAGTTTTATTTTATTTTCTGGGTAAAACATTGTTTCATGTTTAATAATCATAGAAAAAAGAAAATGATTAAAACTTCTGTTTGTGAATAACTAGTGTGGAGGAGGAGGAGGAGGAGGAGGAGGAGGTGGGGGAGGTGGGGGGTGAAGGGGGAACAGCCTTTAAAAGAAGCTGCAGCTCGACCTGAACTCAGTTTCACAGAAGGAAAACTTCCTGTCCCGGTCCTCCTCCTCTATGGTCCTGTCCCGGTCCTCCTCCTCTATGGTCCTGTCCCGGTCCTCCTCCTCTATGGTCCTGTCCCGGTCCTCCTCCTCTATGGTCCTGTCCCGGTTCTCCTCCATGGTCCTGTCCCGGTTCTCCTCCTCGGTCCTCCTCCTCGGGTCCTCTGAGCGGAGCTGTGAGGAGTCTTAATCCGCCACAGGCTCCGCGCTGTGCGCCCGGAGGAGGAGGAGACCACCACGATGCTCCTGTCCCCGGACACCTTCTGCAACCTCACGGGTCCGAACTGTTCCGACCCGCTGAACGGGACCGAGCCTCCGGAGGATCCCGGGAACCGCACGGACCCGTTCGGGCGGAACGAGGAGGTGGCGAAGATGGAGATCTCCGTCCTGAGCCTGGCCTTCGTGGCGGCCGTGGTGGGGAACCTGAGCGTGCTGCTGGCCGTGTACCGAACCCGCCGGAAGCTGTCCCGGATGCACCTGTTCATGAAGCACCTGAGCCTGGCGGACCTGGTGGTCGCCTTCTTCCAGGTGCTGCCGCAGCTCTGCTGGGAGGTCACGTTCCGCTTCTACGGACCGGACTTCCTGTGCCGCATCGTGAAGCACCTGCAGGTTCTGGGCATGTTCGCCTCCACCTACATGATGGTGATGATGACTCTGGACCGGTACATCGCCATCTGCCACCCGCTCCAGACCCTGCAGCAGCCCGCGCGCCGCGCCCACCTGATGATCGGCTCCACGTGGGCCTGCAGCCTGGTCCTCAGCACCCCGCAGTACTTCATCTTCTCCCTCAGCGAGGTCCGGCCCGGTTCGGCCGTCTACGACTGCTGGGGCCACTTCGTGGAGCCGTGGGGGCTGCGCGCCTACATAACCTGGATCACCGCCGGGATCTTCCTCGTGCCCGTGCTCGTGCTCGTGCTCTGCTACGGCTTCATCTGCCGCACCATCTGGACGAACCTGAAGTGCAAGACCCGAAAGAAGAGCGCGGAGGCGCAGGAGTCCACCCGGACCGGGATCCTGGGCCGGAACTCGGTCAGCAGCGTCAGCACCATCTCACGCGCCAAATTACGCACGGTCAAGATGACCTTCGTGATCGTGGTGGCCTACGTGGTCTGCTGGGCCCCGTTCTTCACCGTCCAGATGTGGTCCGTGTGGGACCAGACCTTCTCCTGGGACGGTAGGTCTCCTTCATTTAACTCATCCAACTTTTACTTTTTAATTATTGTGCGCCGGAACGGACACACAGCGTGCTGCGCGTGACAGAGACCTGCGCATGCCAGGGGCGTCATCAAGGAGGGTTAGAGGGGGCAGTGGCCACCTCTAAAATATGGTGCCCCCCCTTTGGGCCAGAAGGTTTTATCTTCTTCAGTCAACGTTTGTTTGTTGTGGATTTTAAATTACACCTAGCTGTTTAGGTTTGGAGAACTTCATAAACACAAAAACAAACTTAAAAAAAATATATATATATATTATTAAAAAATAAAACTTTAAATCACCTGAATAATATACAGGATGCAGGTCTCAGGGGGTTATAGTTGTTATATTTGTATATTTGTATTTAAATATGTAATATAAATATAAATTTAGAACAGGATAAGCTTTAATAAAGATCGGTGACGGTGCTTTTCTCATTGAGTAACATCATCTGTAAATAAATGAAGTAGATCGATAAATATCAGAAGGCGAGTCATAACTCCTGCATCGCTGTATGGATCAGATATCCTGCATGTGACGACGACGCAACAAATCTCCACCGTACGCTGTTCGCTCTGGACTCTGATGGCCGTCACACGTAAATTAAAATGTGGACGAACACGCCAAAAATAAATAAATACAGTTCCGAGTTGAGCTTTATGACCTGCTGTGTGATTTCAGTGAGTCGGAGCGAGAAATGTGAAACCAAACTGAACGAAAGCAGCAAATAATTCATAAACTGAGACATGACTCTAAATTACAACCAAAAAATGTGCACGTTATTTGCAAGAATGTTGCATGGACATCAAAGTTAACTTGAATCTTAAGAAGTGTAATTCTGTGAGATTTCCACAAAGATTTGATCAGTTTTAATTATTTTTCCAACTTTTAGTGAAGTCTTTAAACACAAATAATTCCCCCTGTGTAAGTTACTGTTGCATAAACTAGATGGAAAAATAGTCAAAATATTGTCATTTTGTCATGAATAAAAAAAATGTGTTTTTATTACAGTCCATGGGTCGCAGACAGTGTTTCAGATCTCACGATGGAAACAAGCAACCAGCTTTATGAAAACAAACCCAACTGGCAACCCACCTCACTGAGGCCGTCTTTAAACAATATAAATACATTTATTATGGCATTACACATAAACAACAAAATTATGATAAACACTTTAAATAACATACGTTTAAGCTCTGATTAAAAAAAAAAAAACATTCTGCACATGTAACAAATATGCAAATCAATTTTTTTCTTCATATTTAAAAAAAACAAAACATCCTGACATCTGTGTGAGTGGAGCCCCCTACTGGTCAGTACGAGTGTGGTAACGGGGGCTTGGAAGGGACAAACTACCTGCTACCACTCGTCTTTTGCTTTATTGTGCGGAGCTGGGAGATAATCAACTAGTTTCACTTAGAAAGAAAGTCGAGCCCAAATAAACAACTTCACGTTCAAAACAAGCCCAAAAAACAACAACCTGCGACTCACAAGATTTGTAAGTGACTTTAGAAAAAAAACAAATTTGCTGATCATAAACAGACTTGGCAACACTGGTCGCAGACTTCCAAATGTTTTCATGTTGACATATTTAGCAGTGGTGGGCGGGGCTTAAAATCAGGCCACTGTAGCTGACCCGCCTCTCCGAAGGGGGGGAGGAGCTTTGATACTTTTTAACAAAAATAAAATAATTTAATTATTTTGTTTTTTTTGCCGCGTCAGTCTCGCCCCAGTTATTTTTTTATTTATGTTAGACAGGCTGTAGCTTTAAACTCTAAAATGTTTTGGGTTTTTTTAGATTCAAGCAGCGAAATGTTTCCGCTCCAAACAGTAAAAACATAAATTCAAATGTTGCTCATTTGAGTTTCAAAACGCTAAAATCCCACGTTTTTGTTGTAAAATTCAAACCGATGTACTCTTTCAGACTCTTCTGACTGAACTCATTCAGCAAAAACTGCTCCTTTTATTGATGAGAGACGTGGAAAAACAATAAATTACCGATAAAAAATTTTACTCAGCATTTTTAAAATGTAACTAAAACGTATCATAGTTTTTTTCTGTACTTTGGCGTCAAAAGTCTGCGCCTGGTTTTGGCCACAAACGAAGACCTCCGGTGCAAACTGTTGCCGTTCAGACGTCCTAAATCTGAACAAATCCTTCGATTTCTGCGCGTGGACTTTGAGTGAAACGAACATTTACCGGCCCGGCCCGTGTTTTTAATAAAGTTTGAGTCGGACCTCAGCTCAGGGTTGTCTTCATGCGTCTTTGTTCCTGTTTCTCCGGCAGACTCTGAGAACGCCATCGTGTCGCTCTCTGCGCTGCTGGCCAGCCTCAACAGCTGCTGCAACCCCTGGATCTACATGATCTTCAGCGGACACCTGCTCTCAGACTTTGTCGGCGTCTTGCCGTGTTGCCAGCGGCTCAAGAGCAGATTCCACCACCAGGACTCTGACAGCAGCTTCCGCCGGACCACCGTGCTGTCGCGCCTGCAGGCTCCCAGGCTTTCGGAGCCTTTCAGAGACGTTAAGAACTGTCCGCAGGCGTCGTTGGCAACATGACCGCCGGGAAACTACTTGAAGGTGGACCAGAAAGTTGTGGAGCTGCTGGTTGTGGTGAAGGGTTGATCTGGGAGCAGTTTTCTCTGGTTTGAGCTGAACTGGAAACGTTCCGGTGGCAGCTTTTATTGGTTTCACTTTAACTGGAGCTGTCAGCCCGATGGACCGGCGTACTTCCTGAATACTCTAACATGAAGAGTCTTTTCATGGAAGTCAAACGTCTTGCAGGTTCTTTTAGTCTAAATGGACACGTTTGTACAACTCCAGGACCAAAAACACCACGACGCTGTGGGAAAGTGAAATCAAAATGCAAGGGTTTGTAAATCTCGTCAAATCAAAGTTCCTTCACAGTAAAATAAACATAAACAATGTTTAAATTAAGAAACTGATATTTTTAGGAGAGAGTCGTTTTTATTTTGACGGAAGCAACACGTCCTGAAAACGTTGAAGCATCTTCTTTTAACATCAAACTGAACATTCAGGACCTGAGGAGACCAGATGCTGGAGGTTCTGGAGGACCTGAGCAGACCAGATGTTGGAGGTTCTGGAGGAAATAATTCTACAATCTGCTGCTTCCTCAGATAAATAATGTAACAAATAGATTTTAATGTCGGTGCCTGATCTGTTGTGACTCGGTGCCGTACGACTGAACTGAACTGTCCTGCTCTGGTCCGACGGAGGACTCCAGCTGTTCTACATCACGGGAGCAGACGATACTTTTCTGGACTGATGGAGTCTTTCCAGATGTGTAAGCTGCTCATACTAGTGGCACTAATGCACCCCCATACCATCAGAGAGGCAGCCCCTTGAACTGTGCGCTGAGGATGTGGTGCTCATGGTTTCCCAACAGAATCTCAGATTTGGACCCGTCTGACCTCAGAACAGTTCTGGACTTCAGCTCAGTCCGTTTGAAACGAGCTCTGGTCCAGAGGAGACGGCAGCGGTTCTGGCTGGTGTTCACATCTGGTTTCTTGTTTGCCTGATAGAGCTTTAAGCAGCATCTGTGGATGAACTGACAGTGATCTGTGGAAGAGTTCCTGAGTCCAGACCAGAACCTGAACTGGTTTTAGTGGAGCGGCCCCTGAGGTCCTGAAGACCACGACCCTCCAACATGGACCTTCAGCCTGTGAGCTCAGAGGTTTCTACAGATTCTTCTCATCTGTAGATGATGAGACCATCAAAGTGTTCCAGATGTTCTATTAAGGACCTTTATTTTGAAATGGTTCCTGTTTTAGCCGCAGTTTTCCACAGACAGCTGAACCTCCGCCCGTCTTTACTTCTAAGAGCTTCAGCCTCTCCACGAGTCTCTTCTCCAGCCGGGTCCTCTGTCTGACCCGGCAACGAACCGAGTCCGTTCAAGAAGCTCCTGCAGCTCCTTTTACCTTCTGGGAGCAACTTTACAGACGTGCTGCTGCTTCAAACTAAATGAACCGTTTTCTCCTAAAATTGTCTTTTAACATTTCACATGTTCTATTGTAAATAAATTATGAGTCTATGAGATTTATAAATAATTACATTTAGTTTTTATTTACATTTTATACAACCCAACTCTTTCAGAACTGGCGTTGATCTGAGGTTTAATTGAATCTATAACAATTAAGACTTTTAAGTTTCATTTTGAAGATTTAAGAAAAATATATTTTTTAAAAAAACAAAAATGTTAATCTTTTCGTTCAACCAGACGCATTAATTTTTATTTATGGAATGACGATCACAAGAAAAGGAAGACAACAGTTTAAGCTTGTATGAAAGTTTTCTTGTATATAAATAAATTATTCATGCAGCTCTTTAAACAACCGGGGGTCACTAAATGTTTCACAGCAAAATATATGATTTATGACTTTTACTTTGTTAAATGGCGTAAACTTCACTGTTTATATGTTTCAGGATGTTTTGCTAAATGTTAATATTTTATTCCTGTAGCGTGTATTTTATTGGTTCTGTAAATATTTTACTGACGTTAATGTGATTTAAAGTATTTATATCAGCTCACTGTTCATAAAGGTTTAAGATTATTATGATCCTGAATTTGTTTTTATTTCCTGTTTGTGACGTTTTGTTGCTTCAGGAGCAGAAACGGACCGGCAGCGAGTTATTTCTGTAAAATAGGACATTATTGATACACGCGTTGTAAATAAGATAACATTTATTCATTATTTTTCTTGTTTTTCATCCGCAGCAGTTTTACTTTTTAATTTTTAAACCACCAGGAACTCATTTTCTGATTCCCTGTAACTCCTGCAGCAGAAATGTTCATGAAACCGAATAAAAAATGGAACACCTGAATGCATCACGCCGCCTTTAAGGACGAGGCTTCCAGCAAGTCTCTGCTCGGAGTACGTTCTGTGCACAACTCTCGGCTACTACCACGCCAAAGTTCAGCTCAATATGTTTAAGAAGTTTCATCAAAATCCGTCTTCTGGTTCTTGAGATATTTTACTAACAGATTATGAAAGATGAGCAAGAATAACTTTTGTCTGTTGATTTATTCAAAATCAAAACTTTATTTTTAAACATGATTAAAAACACCAAAGTAGCGCACAATGAAACCATAAATCCTTAAAACAAATATTAAAATAAAACCTAAAAAGACGACACGTCCTCAAAGTGTCCCTCTTGTTTCTGAAACTTGGACAGAACGAAGATAATAATAAATCTGTTGGAGAAGATCGAATATAAAACCATAAAAAATATGAAACCAGAAGCACAAAGTACCAAAACAAAACAGAAAATAAAAAATAAAGTTCTGATCAGGCTCACTCGACTCAACAAAACTGTTTACCGTTTAAATTAATCCTATTTATTAACTACACATTCTTATTTTAGCGTGAAATCATTTGACTGACATAAATATGCACAGATTAAAAACAAAACCAAAATTATTTACCAGTTAATCAACTGGGGTTTAACAGTACAACATTAAACAATATCTTACCTGTTGTAGAAAGCTTTTTGACCAATCTCACTTTATAAATTCTTAAACTCTGACCAGACTGATGAGCTAACATCAACCAGAAATGTGTGTGTATATGTATGTATATATATATATATATATATATATATATATATATATGATAGATAGATAGGATATTTATGTAAAATAACTGAACAGAATGTGAAGGTCTGTATGTGACGTGTTGTGAAATTATTGAGATTTAAGTTATTTTCAGACGTAAAAAATGTGCCTGACGTCGTTCCAAGAAACATCTGCAACATGTAAGATATTGATTGTTCATTACTGTTCCTTAGTATTAATAGAAACCAAGAGATAAATCCTGATTATTTGTCAGTAATAATCCTCCTCAACCTTTAAAATTGTAATTTAATCCGTTTCTGTCATTGAACCCATTTGAAGTTAACTACAACAGATGTTTTCTCTGTAAGACACCTCAGCTCAAGTCTTTTCCTACAAAAACTGTTTTGAAAGAAGCATTTGGAGGCAGGATGTTGTGCAACAGTGTCTGGGAAGCAATAACTACTTTGCTGCAACACGCAGCTGATTTAGTGATTCTGTTTTCAGGAGCTCAAATTGATCCCCCGAGGATCCGTCATTTCCTGTCCTGGCAAACAACATTACTTTGAAAACACCTAAAAAAACAAAAAGGTTCAGCGAGTTTCCTGTCATGGGCAGCTCAGTGGGTAGAGCTGTTGCCTGTCAGTGAGAAGGTTGCCAGTTCAAATCCCATTCCGGGACCTTTCTGGTGGAGTTTGTATGTTCTTTTCATGCTGCGTGGGTTTTCCCTCACAGACTAAAAGACCTGTCCAGGTGTCCCCGTGATAGACTGGAGACCTGTCCAGGTGTCCCTGTGATGGACTGGAGACCTGTCCAGGTGTCCCTGTGATGGACTGGAGACCTGTCCAGGTGTCCCTGTGATGGACTAGAGATCTGTCCAGGTGTCCCTGTGATGGACTAGAGATCTGTCCAGGTGTCCCTGTGATTGACTGGAGACCTATCTCCCCCTACCTCTTGTACAGTGATAGCTGGACATAGGCACCAGTGACCTCTGCAGCCTTAAAAGGAAAAAGCGGGTAAAAGATAATGGATGGATGGATGGATGGATTTTCCTGTCATCGTTTTCACCCTCTTGCTTTGATTTTATGCCCTTTTTAGCGTAAATGTGCGAGGAATGAGGTAAGATCAGTTTTAGGCAGAACCTGGCACATGGGGAACCAGGACATTGCCATGGAATGTCCAACGGGGTGGTGGTCCCCACCTGGGAGGAAGGATTTGACCGATTGTTGAACCTCTGATCCAGGAGGAGAAGCGTCTTTAGTCCGTGTCTTTGAACAGTGGATTGGATCTTCACCCTTGGGGAGTTGCTCATGGGGGTCTTGGGAGTTTGTGTTTTGTGGATCTGGAGGTTTATGACAGTGTCCTCGAGGCATTCTGCACCGGTGGTCAGGGTTGTTTAAGGGCTATTCAGTCCCTGTAGAACCGAAGCAAGGACTCCTTAAGCATCCTCGACACAAAGTCTAGCTCTTTTGTTCAGGTTGGGGGTCCTCCAGGACTGTCCCTTGTCTTCACTCCTGACAGTAGGGATCATGGACAGGATCTCAAGTTGAGGAGAGAAGGTGGTCTGGTTTGGGAACCTCAGGGTCTCTGCAGTTTGCAGTTGACCTGGTTCTGTTGGCGACTACTGGGGCAGTTTACAGCCGAGTGACCATGGTCATGGTTCTTAACTAGAGAAAAGTGGTTTGTCATTTCCGGGTTGGAAAAGAGTTTGATTATCTGGGATTCTTAGATGGATCAACAAATCAGGGCTTTGCTTTGGTCTGTTAATCGAGGCAAAGTTCTCAATTTACTGATCCAGCCACGTTCCAACCTACGATCAAGAAGTACGTGTAGCACAAAGAAAATAAAGGTGATGATTTTCTCCTCTCTGCTGCATTTATTTTCACTCATTAAAGCGGGGCACCAGCAGGTCCCTCTACTGACCAGCACTGCTTCATTAATGTTTTGACCCTTTAATGATCAGAACTCAGTCAATGAAGGAGAATCCAGT